CCACGCCTCGCGCCGAGGACCCCCGTCACCGCCACCTCGGCTTGTGCGGGTCCGGGGACCCCGTGCCCCTTCCCGGGGCGGCCTCGGCGTAGCCGCGGGGCAATGCAGACCGTCTTCCTGGCCGTCTAGACCCCTACACCCCTCTGGCCCTGCGGTTCCTGACGAGCGGCGGTGGCCGCCCAGGGGGTAGCTCGGCTACACCTCCCGTGGGCTCGCGAGGACCTTCCCGGCCGCACCGAACCGACCCTTCCTTCATGCTGCAGTGCTGCAACGTTTCCGCCACTGAGGGTGAAAAGCGGCCGCGATCTCAAACAAAACACAAGAATTGGTGTGTGACTCATCTGCTTGGATACCTCCAGTCCCCAAACTGTCTTCCAGGAGTTTTCTTGGCCGAAGCTGCCCGATGTTCGAGCCTTTTCTTCCCAGGGAAGAAGATGGACTGAAAGCTGCCAGTTGGGGACTTTTGGCGATCAGGGCGCTACTGAGTTTTAAAGGAGGTGATGGGGCTTGCGCTGGCTTGTCTTCCCACCCAAGTGAAGAGTTGTTAATGTTCACTGGTTATGCTTAGACAATGCGCAGTTTGTGTTAATTTACAATTTTGGGGGGGATAAGGGGCATAGGCTTGGTGAAGGGCAGTCCGGATCCGGAGGAACTCTTCTTTGTCCCTGGTAGGAGACACCCTCAGTCTGTCCTCGATGCCGTCAGCCTTGGCCATCTTCACTTGCCGTCCGAACTCGCACCCGTTTCAGGAGCGTCATGTCTACCTGGACGAACCCATCAAAATCGGCCGATCAGTGGCCCGCTGTCGACCAGCACAGAATAATGCCACCTTTGATTGCAAAGTGCTGTCAAGGAACCACGCTCTCGTCTGGTTTGATCACAAGACTGGCAAGGTAATGTCACCACATTGTCTAACAACCTTTCATTTTCCTTTGCGGTGTCTTCGAGGTTTAATACGCAAGATCTCAGGGTTTGCACCCAGAGGACACTTTGAGCAAGGCGGTGGAGGCAACTTTGTGTGTGCCTGGTTCTAGTGGAAATTTAATTGAGGTGGTTGAATGGAAAACAGAGAAGGTTTTGTAATGAAATGCCTCAGGAGGGCGATGGCATCTTGATAAGTGGTCATTCCCAGTGAAATCCCAAACCCTAAATTGGTTGGAAAAAAGCTAGATAGTGAAAGTTGGCGTCTTGCTTTCAGTCTTTTTAGAAAGGTGAATTTGCTCAGTGCTTGATTAAGCAGGCAGCAGTTCCCAAAGCAAGGTGGGGATTTCATGACCATTATTGCCCTGGGGCTCAAGTGTCTCAGCGGACAGATGTAGTTAACTGGGAGCTTTTAGTGGAGTTCAGATCAGGGCCTTTCTAGTAAGGACATTTGTTGTTTTAATCTAACGTTATTGTAAGGTTTGCTGTATATTTGCCCTCAAAGTAATCATTTGCAGTCATTATAGCCAGTTTATTAAAGTGTAAACAGCTGTGTAAGGTCAACGTTTTCCGAGTTTTGTTTATAAGTTGGGAGAACATATATACATACTGCTTTTGAAAAATCACTTTTTTTTTTTTTCGGAGAGGTTTTTGTGATAGGGCGCGTGTGCTCGCCAGACAGACAGAGACAGAGAGACAGAAAGCGAGAAATCACCCCCCAGGGGGGATGGTCATGATGCACTCCCTTCTCCTCCGTTCTCCTCTTGGGATCTTGGGCACTCACGCACCCGTGCCCGGCGTGAGTTTTAAGCCACCAGGTCCGGGACACGAACCGCGGTCGACTACATGGGAGTCCAGCGACATAGCCATTACCCTAATTGCTGGTCCCGAAAAATCACTTTTTAATCATTCCTGCAGCAGTTATTAGATACTTCCTGCATAGAGTTGATGTTTAAAAATTGTCAGAAAATTAACTTATTTTCCTGAAATTATATCCATTTCTGTCATTTAGGATGAGTTCAGTGCTTTTCATTTTAAGTATAACCATTTTAACATTTTTATGTTGACTCCCTAAATTACTATACATGTGTGTGCTTATATTTTAAGAAATCATGAAAAAAAGTAAGATCCTTTCAGTTTTTCAAAAACTCTATCTTTGTATGTGGGGGAATATATAACGAGTCGTCTTTGTGCTTAAACCTCAGGTTTTAGTCGAGCTGCTGACTCAATTCCAACTTAAAGTAAGTTATGTAAGACTAATAGGAATATCTCAGGTTTCACCTCCTGACTTTTTGCCCCCGTTTTCTGAGTTAAATAATTAAGCCTTTTTTGAAAGAAGAAATGAAGGCTTCAGGAGTAATGTTTTGAAATGAGAGAAACTGAGCCTCAAAAGGCAGAGAGAAAGCAATCCTTCTACAGGTACTCAATTAAGAAATTATTATATAAAAATTTTTTTAAAGGAGAAAAAGATTGCCCAAGTGCTGTGTGCTTGCATAATAATTATAACCTACTCTGTGTGCAGGATGAGATCTGAGAATTATTAGTTTTTCTATATTACATCAGGTACTCATTTTCTTGTGAAACAAACCCTTTTTTTTTTCCCCTCTCTGAAAGCTAAAGGCTAGGTGCCTCAAAGACTTCAGAGATTACCCAGAATCCCTTAGAGTGAGCATTCAAAGAACTCATCTCTCCAGTCATTAGTTAACTGCTAGTGCCTTTACTGGACTAGTTTTTACATTTTTTCTTTTTTATGTCCCTGGGCAACAGTTAGGTCCAGCCTAATCAGATAACAAGTTTGCTCACAGTACGTACATTGCAAATGCACTTTCTTTGATTCAACAATCAAAGGAGATTCAATTTTTTTCTTTTACTTACTTGAAAAATAGTATATTGAACAGCGCTTTCCATGGTTATACTAAAACTCTTACAATAGGTTATTTTAAGATGACTAAGAATAGATCAGTAGTGAGTGTTTAGCTATGAATTGAGATAACATGTTAAATTTTTGAATGGAATTTGTTATTTAGAAAAGTTTTTTTAAAGAATTATTTGATTGTACTTTATTTATGTATTTGCTTATTTATTTTGACCAGAGAGTGACAGAGTGAGAAAGTGAGAAAGCAAGCTAAGCCGCCAGGTCCAGGACTCAAACCATGGTCAGCCATGTGGGAGTCCAGCGCCCTTAACCACCATGCCACCTGCTGGCCCCAAAAGTTATTTTTGAAGAGTGGATGTAGCCCGCCCTTAACCTTTTCACTTAAAAAAAAAAAAAAAAAAAAAAAAAACCTTTCTACTTTATTACCTAAAATAGTATCAGGATATGAGGCTTTTATAATTATTGATTACTGTACTACTTAATCTAATTTTTAAAAATTTGCTCTAGGGCCGGTGAAAAGAGACAGCGAGAAAGCAAGAAAGCAGAGAGAGAAAGATAAAGTGAGAAAGCATCCATGGAGGAATGGCCACTCCATAACCTATCCCCTCTCCATTCTTCTCTCTGGATTTTGAGCATGCACACACAAACACAAGGAGTGTTTTCTTTTTCATTTAAAGTTTTTGCTATAGGGTGTGTCCACTTGCTAGAGAGAGACAAAGGGAAAGGGAGAAATCACTCATCAGGGGGAATAGTGATGCCCCAGTCCCTTCTTCATTATTTTCAGAATTTTGGACATGCATGCACATGCACCCAGTCTGTTTTTCAAACCACCAGGTCAGGACTTGGACTGTAGTCAGCCACGTGGGAATCCAGTACTACCTTGTCACCTGCCGGCTGACTAAGGATGTTTTTTAAGCTACCGGGTCTGGAACTTGAACCTTGCTGTTGGCTATGTGTGATCCAGCCACCTTAACACCACACTATTGGCTGGTTTGCTGACCTAATCTATAACAGGTAAAAAAAATCTGGGACCAGCAAATGGCATAATGGTTCCATCGTTGGACTCCCATGTAATTGACTACTGTTTGAGACCCAGACCCAGCCGCTTACAACTCATGCCGGGTGC